ACGAATGAACCTTCGCTGCGGATGCAAAGTATTAGATAAAAGAAAACAATTAGCCTTAATACAATACAAGGCATACTTTCTCTTATTTGTTCTATTAGAAATCACCAAGGTTAAGAAGTGATTATATGAGTACACTTGTTTTAATAATATTTAATAATATTTTTTTCATTTTATAGATTGTTTCTGTGACACCAACACCAGCATAATGTACTATACATAGGTATAAAAAGCATAATAACGTAATTAAATGTTATAACTCATTATCCTAATTAAATAATGATAATTTCAGGTCCGACTCGTATTGCTCTTGATTTGGTATATTAAATGACAAGTTTAAGTTTTAAGTTATTAATGAATAAACTTGCATAACCTAACCTGCCCAGTTGGATTCGGTTATGTAAACTTTGAAAATTTCATACAGCTTATTCGTTTAATTAATTAACATTACAAATGAGTAATACGATAATTGTGAAGACCGGCAGCGGTAGTCGAACGCCAAGAATTGTAGCACATGGGTTACTATTATTTATTTCATATTAAATTGTGAATCATCTTGTGGGTCAGCTCACTTGACAAATGTAATTATTACTTACGCGACCTAACGACCCTACGATAGGAACAATGTATCAACAAACGATACAAATACAACAATAACACATACTAATAGCAAAGCAATATTAACAATTTCTGTCAAGACCTAGCTCTATACGGCCCTTCATTCATACAACTGTAGTGAACAAAGTGGCTCTTCGAGCTAATCACTTTACGTATAACACTGGCCACACACATAGTTTGCATTATATTATGCATAAGAACAAAACCGTAATGAAACTTAACGCGTGTTATCTTAGTACGGAGTTTTAGAAAACGCAGTAGTTGCTAACGTACATTTTTCTGTTGCGGTAATTGCGGTACTTTCCTTTATATCAACATTTTGCTATTTCCGTGTGAATAAAACCCGGCATTTTGTTAACGAGAATTACGTCATTAAACCCCGTAAACTTTTTAAATCCACTAACTAAGCGATACTATAACATAAACCTAAAATTTTAGTTTCTCTAGAACTATGGGCAGAATTGCATTATCGCTGACCATAGATCATTAATAAGGGGGCGGATTTCTTTAGTGTAAACTCCCTAAGTAGTATTAAACCAGTTATACTAGAATGTAATAAAATGAAGTGTTCCACTTACGGTTCCTGCCGTGTGCATACATTTGGTCCAGTTAGTTCTGCCGCCACACTCGCCACCAATAAAATCACAACCGTCCGCCACATGTCGTTTGCAATTTCTATTTCACAATACACCCCATAAGTCTATTGTTTACACACTACACGATTACCTCACAATGCTAGCACATGTTTACCTGTAACAATGAAAAGTATGAGAGTTATTAGCCATTAGAACATGTGATAAGTCAAGTTGACTAATTTCTTCTTAAATAACGATATCATTTACCTAATATAAAAGAGAATTATGGAAATGAACATTGCTCAAAAGTATTACCTATTCTATCTATAATAATACTAGCTTTCGCCCGCGACTCCGTCAGCGTGGAATTATAAAAAACGAAAGTAAGTATCCTATCCGTTCTTCTAGACTATCCACTACATCTATACCAAATTTCATCGAAATCCGTTCAGTCTAGGCTACCAACTGTAACAAATATCCATCCATCCATTTATCTAAACTTTCACATTTATAATATTATAATAGTATGAAGTAAGAAGTATGATTATAAAGAGTAAAGATTAGTATTTTTGTTTTTCTATGTATTTTTTTAATAACTAAAAAAAACTGGTCCGATTTACAAAACTCTTACCATTAAAAAGTTACATTTTTAATTTCACGGGGACGAAGCCGCGAGCAACAGACCATAGATCATTTTTGTAAAATTTTCATTGGTACAAAAGACGATAAGAGGTCAAAACAATGATCAGAGTTCACACAGAGCTCCGACCCTGCGCTCTATTTACCAATAACAACTAAACCAACGCTAACAGTAAATCGGAATGGTCCGTATATAAAACCTATCCAAATGGAAATCCATAATGGCAAACTAAACTGAATATTTCTTTTAATTTATATATAACACCTCCCAGGAATTCAACTAACAATAAATTTTTAGTACATGCATAAAGCATACGTCAGAATTTTGTACCACAGACTTCTATTGAGTTTTAACGTATGGTACAAACAAAGCAATTAAGCAAGTAACATGTTTTCGTGGCACCAATTAGGTTAGCGCGCATAGTTAATAAACTCTATTAATACTCGAGTGCGTCGCGGAACAGTGGTTGTGTTGTGCGCAATAAATCTTCTTTAAAATCATTCAAAATAAAATACAAAAGGCTAAATGTTACTTTAAATAAACAATAGTATACATTATTGCACCTGTAGAGGCCAAGATAATAAAACAAAATGAAACGTAGTAAATTTAATAATTAACAATGAAAGATCCATGTAATCTTAAAACAATTACTATTTTAGTATTCCAATACTTGAACTGATAATTCAAAGGGTACCATAAAATAAAATATATTTGTGTCTAGTATAAAGTAAATAAAGTACGAAGTTAGCAATTTTTTTATTCGTTGGTTAGCATTAATGAGATATTTTCTTCCTGATATCGAAAGTCCTAAAAAGCTTTTATTACCCTTTCTTTTAAAACCCGTTTTCGAAATGTATATCTCAGTTTATACAAGCCACCATATACCTACTTACATAGCGTCTCTTAGTACAAATAACATCATGTTATGTCTCGACACTCCACTGAATGATTTCTTAGTATCGCCTGTTGTTAACATACGGGCATATTCGCTCTCTGGCGCGTATTGTTTTATTCAACAGACTCTAGTAAGAACCACTGTAGTTTTGCTTCAAAAAGTTTATACTTTTATAAGATTTAGTAGTATAATATATTCACGAATAGGTTATATTTGACGGTAGGCTTTATGTTTTCTATTATCCTTTAAGCATTCGTGCGTTCAGCATCCAGTTATATTAAAACGCAGGAAACAACATCTACAGCTATACAAAGTATCACCGTATCATAATATCAGAAAGCAATAATTTTATTACATTGCGGTGGTCATGCGTTTTATTTTTTAATTGGATAGTACGCAATCTCTACTATAACATAATTTCTTCAAGTAGAAGTTTCTGCAATGAGACTTACTAAGGTTCAATAGATTACTTAATTTTTTTTTAAATCCTTACTCTATGCCTTACTTTAGAGAATTAGGCACAGACAAAGGGGCGTAAGTCACATTGTTGTTTCATTAAGAATAATTAAATTTTTAATTAAATCTGGGGTGTTAATTATTAAGTTCAGTTAATTCTAATTTGAGCAATAGCAACTTCGTTAATTGACATCAATTGGATTTAAAAATAATTAACGCACCACTGACATGCTGGTGCATTAAAGCGTGGGAATGTTTAAGCTAGATATTGAATTTACTATAAACGTGATATATTTTTAAAAAATGCAACTTGAATATAATATTTTCGAATGTAAAAAGTCATTAAACGGAAAGTAGATGGAGAAGCGCGGAAGTTTTATCTCAAGAGTTGAAGGTCGGATGAATTCTCATGTCCGGAAAAATGCGTCATCGTCACTAGTTTTTAGGTCGTTCATTCATGTTATCGTCGTTATAACTATTAGATAGGTGAATTTTTAAAAGTAACATTAAACATCATTTTCTGTACTATTTCATAGCGTATTTTAAACCATTTAATTACAATATTCCAAAAATCCTTTTATTATATAGAAAACCTTAACATATCTCGAGAATGTACTAATAAGAATTCCATCATTTCCTCACAACACTTTACACCGTTCACATTACATGAGTGAAAATGACCACCATTGTCTGGTACAAGAATAACAGTATAAGTGTGTGTGATTTATGAATTACTAACGGTAACACGAGGAGGCGCATTTGTTAATATTATCAAAACACAATCCCACCGGCGACGTGTCGCATTAAAACAATTGCGACAGTTATGAATCGGGTCAAATGCTACGAGTCGTTGGACGCTGGCACTGGAAACATTTTAGACACCTGCCCCAAGAAGTAAACTACAGCGCGTTTACCTTTCTTCCTAATCTTCAACATTTCATTGCACAATTTGATATCAATTGTTATTTTAAATATTTAACTGTAATTATTTAAACATCTACGTATGTAAGATATTGATTGAACTATGTGTGTTATTATTTCAGAACGTAAGAATTTGCATAAAAATCTCAGTAACTTCAAACCAGACAGGCAACATCTGTTCGTTAACCCTATATAGAATCACAAAAACTCTACCCACCATGCTTTGAAAAGTAGTGGAATATATGTAGGTCTTAAAAACAAGTATTTGGTTCCCATATGGTAACATATGCAAAAAGTATTTGTTATAATTTCTACTTAATGAGTAAGCGAGGTAAAGCCGCGTGACAAAAACATTTTTCATTAACAATGAAGTCTGCACTTACAATGATTTGTAAGCCAGTTTGACACGCTGTTTTTACTTCATTGGCACGCTTCCGTCGTTTATATTTAAATAAAAGGTTTTGATCGCTTATCTAGTCTTATAGATTAAGTAGGTATGTCAAGCTTGAACGCAAAAAAACTTGTATCTATAAATAGACTGCAAGTTACGAGATGTTTGCGGTGAGAGCTTAGATTCTGTACAACCCAGGGACACGTTTATTAAGTATTTTTACACATGTAAAGTTTCTAGGTTGTTAACATGAATTAGTAAGGATTATCACTGACATACACTGGACAAATATTATAGTAGATTAGACGCCAGTTTGTATGACTTTCAGTTGTCAGGCTGTGAAGTTTTACAACTTCTTGAAATCCTCTTAAGGCAATAAGAATATGATAATATAATTATCTCTGACTCATATGGAACAAGACTTTTATATTTAGCAGCAAAAGATATTCAGGTCAAAAGTCACCTACAATTGAAGTATCATCATCATCCACTTGCCCTTATCCCTTATGGAGGGTCGGCACAGTATGTGCTGCTCTTCCATACATCTCTATCAGCCGTCATATCTGAATCCACTCCTTTCTTAAGCATATCTTCCATCACACAATCCATCCACACTTTCTTCGGTCTTCCTCTTCCTTTGTAGCCATCCACATTCAATCTCAACACTTTCTGGTTTATGTCCCCATCATTTCGTCGCATAATATGTCCATACCACGCTAACCTTTTGCTTCTCAATTTCTCCACCAAGTATATGCAATGCAAAACAGTACTAAATTGTGTATATGTTGGAAATGTTTATAAAGAGAAAGTAACTAAATCAACTTAATGGAACATGATTTGCTCACAATAATATTGCACTTCAACGCTACAACTATTTCTTGAATTAACTATAGTTGAACTAGGAGTATAAGAAAATGCTAATGTGAAATGACTAATAGGTATTTAGTTAACATACAGATGAACATATTAAGAAACAGTGTTATCTCATAATTGTTTAAAACCTTATCTCTGATTAGGTTAAAACAATAAGAAAAATTCTCAGTACCGCTCAAAAGCATGCAAACAAAATATTATCTATGCAATTGTGAACTCTCTGTTCTGTGATTTCGCGCATTGTTTTCGACGCGGGATGCGGGCTCTGAGCTCGGAGCACACCGCTCATCCCGGATGTCACCGCGATAACGCGTACAATTACTACGAACTAAAAAGAAATGTTTACAGGGTCATTAAATTATCTCCCACCCATTGCATTTGTACTATGTACTTATTCAATATAATATTTAATTCAGTTTCTAAATAGAATATGTGGTAATGCAACATTTTCTAGATATTTCAATTGTTGAGAAACAAGATGTATTATATGTACAAGGTCATCATCCACTTGCCCTTATGGAGGGTCCGCACAGTATGTGCTGCTCTTCCATCTCTATCAGCCGTCATACCCGAATCCACTACTTTCTTAAACATATCCTCTTTCACACAATCCATCGATACTTTCTTCGGTCTTCATCTATGTTTGTAGCCATCCACATTCAATCTTAACACTTTTAGGTTTATGTCCCAATCATTTCGTTGTATAACATGTCCATACCACGCTAACCTTTTGCTTCACAATTTCTCCACCACTGGCACTACTTTCAAACTTCCTCTAATGTACACATTCTTAACTTTATCCATTCTTTTCAAATCACACATTCATCTTAACTTTGGTGGCCCAACATTCAGATCCATACAATACGACAGGTCTTATGATGGACTTGTAGATTATATGTACAAGGTATCAAGCTTTTTTTAATATATTTTACGAATTGATTTGACATGTTCTTTTGCATATGTCAAATAAAAAAAGAATGTGAGCAGACAGAGAAATATAAAATCAATTTGTAATTACATACCGGTAATTTCAATTCACCCTGGAGCCATTATTAACACAATAGTGGAAATGTGTATTCATATTTATTATAGCTACTTATAAAGTTTTACATATATACTAAGAAATTTCATAATTTAGTTACAGCGAATTTAAAATAATTAAAGGATTACTTATTTAAATGTTATTTGTCCCTCAAATATTACAGATTAATGATAAATCTCGATATTCTAATGTAAATGTTATGATAGTATTGATAAATATATAGTATACTGTAATTGAAGGGTTACCAACTTATGTAAACATTACTGTAAATCAGTACATTAACAAGTTTGTTTCTATAACATGAATTTAGATATGTCTCCATAGGTGGAAAACTAAACAAATGCTATTTTAGCCAAATTAAGTTTTAATTGTTTTCATATGCATATTCTGGTCAAGATATATCTTGATTGCTCAAACCGTTCCAAAATATAGCCATTCATGTGTTCCTGATGGAAAAACAAACATGTTCAAATAAGGACTACACAATAAAATAAAAAAAATACATAACTCATCAAAAAAAACAATAACTATAGTGAATGGATCCAAAACATTTTAAATTCTTTATAGTACTATATTTTTTATCTTTACTATTCTTATAAAGGGGAAAGATTCGTATTTTTGTATGTATTGTAATAATTCAAACATTTTTGAGCCGATTTTTAAAAAAAAAAACTTCACCATTAGAAATCTATGTTATAGCAGAGTAACAAAAGTTTTATTTTTAAATTTCATATGAACAAAGTCACAAGACAACTGGAAATCTGGGTACTTACAAGTTATTAATTGTGATTAACATTTTCTAGTAAAGAAAAAACATTCCGAGAACAAACAATTTCAATTAAAGAAATCAACATCTTATTTAACTACACCATTCAATGTTTAAACAAACATTTGTATTTACTTGGTAAGAGATTCTTTTGATACATAATATACTTAATAATGTACCCTTGTGGGCTAAAATGGTATAATTAACTACACAGCATCAGTAAAATCTATACTAAAATCATAAAGAGGAAAGATTTCTACTTTTGTATGTATTGAAATAACACAAAAACTACTGGGTCAATTTCATAAATTCATTCACCATTAAAAAGCTATGTTATCAGTGAGTAACAGTGGCTATATTATTTTTTAAATTCACGAGGGCGAAGTCGCGAGCAACAATTAGTTTTACCAAAATAGGGCACACTTCAAAAAAATTCTACCCACAGTTTTAAATTCTTATTAGACATATTTCGTGTATAATAAACTTTGTAGTCAATTTAAAAAAAGAGACATTTTCATAAAGAAGAATTTCAATAACATTAAAATGATTAAGAAAGTATTTTAAAAACCAATCAGGTGACATTGACACTGTTTCTATTAGTTATATCCAGCATAAGTTAAAAATAATAATGAAGAATTAAACCACTTACCCATTAAAGTTAGTTAGTTCCTGTATTTTATGATATTGTGATTCACTATTATGTCCTCTTTAAATCACTTATGCAAACCAAACACTAAAATGTAGAACAAAGTACTGCTATATTTTTCAAAGCTGAACCATTTCGTGTTAATTTTTATTACACAAAATAAGTTAAAAACGATTTTTTTAGTGAAATGTATGTACAAAAATTTACTAGAACAGTGTTGAAATAAATAACAACACATTCAAGCACATAATAACATCGCAGTACAACGAGCGATGACAACGACAAAGACAAATTAAATAATGAAAGATCAAAATTAATTGGTCCGGTACAGATAAAGCTAGAAAAGCACAGAGTTGAGTTAACTATATCTATGGTTGGGTGGAGATGTCAACACAAATAGGAATGTGCATTGTAGGCACATCCCTGATTGTTCGCGATGAACCATTCACCATCTTTTTTCAATCATTCGTTACAAATTGATATTTGAAACTATTAGAAAAGCGAACATTACGTAGTTAGCTTTATATAAAAAATAAAAAGCAAATCTAAAAAAAGATTAACAATAATCCATAACTTTAGTAATATACGCATGTCTGTTTTAAATTAATTTAAATACATGCATTTTAAAGGAATACGACATTGTTTTTATATTGTCTTTCATAGCTTATTTCTGTTTGAATTTATTGCACTTTTGTAAAATTAAAATCGATTACAAATGGTTTGTAGGACAATCGTAATACATGACATGCTAAGATGTGCATCACTAGGATCGACATTTGCGACTGACATTTTCGTTTCCCAATTTGACATTTTTTCTTAGTGGAAATTACTGAATTACGGATTGTATTACAATTTGCAAAATATGTATGTTTACAGTTTCTAAGACTGGAAAGTTTTTGGTCATTGAGAATACTTAGAATTCACTTAATAATTTTCTGCCATCTTATAGAAATTTAAACAATACTAGAACGAATACAACGTATGAACTAAAGGGTATAAGTTATGGATTCTTCGTCAATAGTGAGTTTCAACAATGATTCCACTTATCAGACCACGCTAAAGGGTGAAGTGAGCGTACATGAATTAGCCTTGCATGCTATGCGAGATAGATGTTTACTACTGCAACGAAGATTAAATACTTTAGAAAATGATAACATGAAGTTAAAATTAGATATATCAAAGAGAAATTCTCCTTACATTCCCTTGCAAGAAGACGAGAAATTAAAACTCCAACAACAAATAGCAGAACTTAATAAGCAAAAGTCACAACTGTTGCATCATGTTTTTATGGTCTCATGTGAGAATAAAAACTTGTGGAATAAAATTTCAACTTTAAAGCGTCCAGATAAACCACATAGAGAAGGAAGCAAACCATTGTTACGCACAAACACATATGTAAACCACACATTAAGATCGAGCGCTAACTGTCAGGAGAAATATGCAGAATCAAGTTTAGAAGAAATATCTTTAAAACTAATAAACAGTTATATTCAAGAGAAATCACAGTTGGTAGAGCAATATGAACAAATGTCACAGCTTCAAGAAATAGACGATGAAATTCTAAATGTTGATTCTATTGGTTTCAATTACTTAGATGATCCGGCATTTGATTCATTGAAAGAAATACATAACCAGACAGAGAAATTGCAAAATTTAAAGAAGGAAATTGAACTTCAAGAAAAAGATCTAAAACTTGTACTTTCTAAAGTAGAGTCTGTGTTACTGGGTAATTATTTTGCATGATTTTTTGTCTAAATAATTATCAGGTCTCAATTGGTGGAGTCTACTAAAACCTAAAGCCTCCACTAAGTACAAGATACAGAAAAAATATTGTAGCATCTTATAGAGATTACATCCAGCAGATGATTTCATAAATATGTTTTTGTTTTCAGAAGGTTACAAATGTCCATCATGCGCAGACAACAAATCAAAACAGATAACCACAGAGGATAAGGAAGTTGAAACAAGCGCCAGTCTTATTGACCTAGCTACAATGGCATCTCAAAATTTCAATGATAATAGCACATCATTAGTCCAGAATGATTCAGATTATGATGCAAATAGTGAAATGGCTGAACCATATGATAAAATGTGTCCAATATGCGGTGAAACATTTAAAAAGCATACTGAATTTTCTGTATTCCAATCTCATGTAGAACAACACTTTATTGGCGAAACTGAAGATTCATTTACTAATGCTTTAGATAATGGTCACAATTCTTTTGAAAATGTTATGTGAGGGTGATATTTTAAAATTGACTCGTAATATTATTGTTTAATAACTGTGATGTAAATATAACTACAATAGATCAGCTCTTTAATATGTAATTTATTGATTTAAATTGAGTGAGAATATCTATATGATGGTGTAGATGTAGTTTTGGGTTGCTTAGTATAGTTATTTGCATGCGGTGGAGGAATAATAATAACAGATAGTTAAAAAACTCTCATTAGTTTTTGGGTTATTCCAATACATACAAAATTACAGATTGGTATATTTGTATGGACAAACAAAATCTACTTAAGGAGTTTGTTAAACTAAACATCTTTCATAATTCCACTACATAAGCATTCCAACAGAACTACATCTGATAATACACTTGGTAAATAAATTTTAAGAAAAAATCATACAGATGTGGAAACATTGATATTCATTCCTATAAAAATTAGCTCAAATTATTGTTCTTTATTTTTTTTTTTACCGTATATTTTATGATTAGAATTTTCATTTTGTATAATTAATTGCCAGTATTTATTATAATAGTTAGACATTTTTGTAAATATAATTTTTTAATATTGAATAAATAATCATGAAATAGATAAGCATATTTATTATTTTAAAACTACAAATTAATTATGATTTATATAACAAGCACATCTATGCTAAGTCAGTTGGCTTAACATCTTTAGAGTCAGATGGTTGTTGAGTGGATTTCTGTAGAAGATTTTTACTAAACCATTGAGGTCTTTCTTTCTTCATCTCAACTATTCTTTTACCATTCCAAAATTCCTTGGGCTGCAAAATAAAATAATGTAGTTGAAATCCAAGAATAAAACAAGCCATAAATATGTTTACCATAAACTAAATGTGGTAAAAATTACTGTATTTCAATTAAATTAAAATTCTTACCATATTAGGAGCATTTTCTCCTTCATAAAGGACAATAACATCTTTCTCAATGGGGCTATTGCCTAATTTCTCTTGTATTTTATCTTGAATCTCTTTTGTTTCCTTTTCAACTTTCTTGTAGCAACATTCTATAAAATAGTAATAGGAGAATAATAAAATTGAAGCGAATAAATTTAAATAATCAAATTCTTTACTTAACTGATAAATTCTATAGAATTTAAAACCAATTGAGTTTATAAAATTAATCATTTTCAATAGTTATGTGACAAATTACATTGTAGAGTGTGGAAGTGATCAAGTCAATCAAGTGCTGAGGCAAGCACGGATATCTTTTTCATAGAGCCACTATAATACTTTTAACACTTTCATAACTTATTATAATTGTAGATAAAAAGAAACTGCAGGCACCAACTATCTGTTTAGTCATATTACAAATGCTTAGTAAAATTATTAATGCGTAAATTTGTATGTTTGTATGGATGTCTGTTAGAAGGTATCTTCTAAATAGCTAAATGTATTTCCATGAAATTTGTCGCATATGTAGAGCAAAGCCTAGAAGGCTACTAAATTATTTTTACTAAACAAGTGTTCTACTAAAACATTTTTAATTCTGCCTGGAGAGAGTCACAGGCTACAGCTATTGTGTATACTAGTACTATAAATATTCAAGTGTTTATTACCACAAAGGCGTCCCCGTTCATGATGATGTCCGCAATCATTACATACTATGATATTAGTTTTAGGGACAAGCATTTTCCATACATATTCAGAATATCCAAACTTTCTTTTCCACTTCTTTTCAATAGTTCTTCTAAATTTAGGAACAGCTAGAAGAAAACCATCTCCAACTATGTCCTTAATTGTAAAACTTTTTTTAGGTTGTGGTGATGGTTTTTCATAAATTTGAACTAAAGCTAATTCTGAAAAAGTGGAAATAACATTTTTATCATTGCTTACATTAATTTTTTTTCTGTTGCAGATATTTAGTAAATTATCGAGTATAAAAAATGGGCATTTATTTATAAAAAATATATAAACATAAATAAGATGAGTACACCTCTTGGTGGATGGCCAAACATGTGAAAAACATTTCTTTCAATAGTCTTTAGGACGTTCAGCATGTATGCAAATCTCGGTAACATCTTCAGCTTATTGTAGATGCACGTCTTAGTGGTTGAAAGATGTTTTACATTAAATATAGTAAATACTTGAATCAAAGACTGTTAAAACTGCAATGTATATATTTTAGGTTATGTGTCACTGTCAGGTGTATTTTTCCAGATAAAGAGTAAAATGTCAAAAATAATGTTACAATCCTACCAAAAAATCGCATTTTTTGTCATTAATGTAGTACATTCTAATATATGAAGTGAAATAATAACTTCGAACAGAAATAAATCGAAAATTCTTACTTGGAAAATGCCAATGAATCGAATGTAATAGAAGTCGGAAAAGTGTTTTTAGTGATATTACAAACTTTCTATATAGCAATACCAAATAACATGGCCGATGACAATCAGCTGGTTTGAGTGGGGAGAAAAGGCACAGCGCTTATGTGCTTATGTGTGTTATGTAGTTCATGTCCGCAAGCGTCTCGTAGCAGTTGTAGCTATGGCGTGTTTAAGTCCGAGTAGGCTCTGTGCTCGTGTTCAAGATAAGTTAATGTGTCAATTTGGACATAAAGTTCGAAGGCAAACTGTATTTGTGAAACTCAAACCTCCAGGACCAACTCCATTGCGGATATTTGGACGAACATGTCAGGTTAGAAAACCTCATATTTTATATCATTTCACTTTATTTCATAAATAACAATCAGTAACATCATAATTCAATTAGCGGCATTCAATATTTTTTCATGACAAGACATCTCATACATACCCAGACATAAAAGTAATTTTTACATAACATTATGACATTTAACCTAAAAGTCAGCTGATCTATATTTTTAGTAACTAAAATGCAATAAATTACTGTGGTTAAATTTGAAAATCTGTGATATTTTTAGTAAATTATTAGTGGTAAATAAGCAGGTCGTTCATTCATTGGAAATTTTAAAAGTGAAATCTTCGCAAGTCTGCCGCACGTCAGTCGGTACAAGTTTGTTGAGTTTGACAACCAATTTTCTCTATGTTCATAACTTTTACTTTCTGCAAACAAAACCGTTGATTAAATATTGAATTAGTTTCTTATAAGAGTTTATTACTTATGGTTTGTTTTTAAACATTAGCGTCTATTATGTGATTGTTTTGAAAAGTATTTTCTTTTTCTTAACTTAACTTTACCGAAATGAAAGTAGTATGGTATACATTTAGAAATACCGGTGTTTAGAGATATTTGGGGTAGCCTGTACATGGTTGGCGAGTCCGTGGCCAGTAGCAGCGACGCGTCGTGCTTTCTCGCGCGGCGTGCGAGCATGCGATGTAAAATCTCGTCACACAAAACTTTCTAAGCAACAATTATTTTTCGCATTAATATTTCATTTGCACCTTCGATAGCTATTGAATTACTCGATTTCTTTACGTGTGACGTCATTTACACTGATATGGAAAATACACATTTAAGAACGATTTCCTCCTAATTGATAAAGTCATTCGTTGCTATGTATTACAACTTTTAATACAATACAATGAGGTGAACAATCAAATTAATTGCATGTTCCATTAAATACAAATAAAAACAGAAATAGATACAATTTTATACCACACTATAATAAAAAATCGTTATATTTAATGTTTGATAAAGATTAATTATTTTTTAATGATCTTATTAATTACATATGAATTATTATTTAATTATTTTCATAATTCATAAAAGACATTTGAATTAAGACCTTCAGCGGCTTTTTGTAGGTTGCCAATAACCATTAACTAGTACATAGTTTGTAGGTTAAAATGTATTAGAAATTATGTACAGTAATATCAGTTTGTAATAGTATAGCTGTAACTTTTATTAAGGTCTAATCGTGACCTACACGAGACTAAGAGTGAATGAGTGTTATTTGTTTACGCGGCAGTCCAAGCGGCATCACACGCTGGCCGACTGTTAGTGAAAGTTGTGAGAGATTCGTTGAATTTTTAATAGCGCCAAATCTGGGTAAGTAACCTGTCGTGCTAAGGAGTGTTGTAGCCTTTCTTCTTTCATACTGGTCTATTTTTCGAACATTGACCCCGTTAGCTAGCTCGGAGTCACACCGTGTCTTTGATTTTGATCCGCGCACCGTCCTTGACTGATTAAGTAAGAATTTTGTAAAAGCGTCGTTTTATCTACCGGAAAATGTAGGTTATATTCATTTGAATTTAAATGTATTTAAATTAGCAAGCGGTCGAACAGGACGTAGGGTGATTATTTAGAAATGACAATATTGATTTTGTCTCGACATCGGTCGTCGATGTGTTAACGCTAGTCTTTGCGTTAGCAAACGGAATTAAATGAAAATGAGGTTTGTTAAGCAAGTAGCTAATTGTCATTAGTTAGTTTCTATTACTGGTAGTTATTTAGGCAAACGAATCGCTCGAGTGGGCACGCCGTACGTAACGTCCTGCGTAAATGAAGCTCACTAGAAATGCGGAACACATAGCTATTTGTTCAGTCGACATCATTGTATAAGAGTTTGCGGCAACGAACACTACATAGCATATGTTATTTTCTACTTACAACATTTTCTTCAATTCTAAATTACGTGCTGACAATACAAAAGGGCGTGGCGAGGTGGAAAACCTTTAAGTCTATCAAACTCAATCAAACAATGTATAAAGCGTGCATATTGTTTCATGTAACGTCTATGAAATGTTTTAATCTATAAAAATATCTTTCTCATTTCACATGAGTTACTAAATGTTATTTTTTCTCATATTCTGTATTTAAAATTAGCTTTGACGACACAAAAGAGCGTAATAAAATGATTTTGAATGGAAAGAAATGGAACTTTATTGAACACGGTTGTACAGCCTTTGTTAATATCATACTACCAAACTGTAAAACGATTTTCGACTTCTAATCGAATATCCAAATACTTTTTCGCAATAACTCATCGCATAATTATTCACCGAGCTAATCTGACGAATTTTTACTATAGTTTATATATTGTGTAAGAAAGAGCGAGCTTTATGGGCGCGGGGAGATTGTGACATTAAACGGATGTGGTTACACATTTTTGAACTTTATTATGCGTATCGAGATTTTTCAAATAAACTTCTACGACCTTTGACACAATTAATATCAAAGATGAAAATTGCTGTGCACTTTGCCTGTTTCATAGGATTCCAAAGCAAGCATAAACTGGCACTGATATTACCTATCTGATGTACGGTTGAAATTGAACACTCTACTATAGGATTATGTCGTCCTTTTGTAAGTATTTGTTAGTGTTAATTGTGACGTCATAAATATTTGATTGTAAATTGCGCAGATTTGTCCCACCCGCTGGCGACTAAACATGTCAAATATATTCTTAAGTAGCGGCAGAAGCGGTCACCAGTTACTAGACGTCCTTGCGGACAGAGCTAGCCAGGTGCATTGAGCAACAGTGTTTCGGTCGGTACTCGCAAACAATGAACTCATCAGCGTCTATGGGTGCGATATTAATTGCTCACGTTTACGTTGTTGATAAGGGCCGTACGTTCTATCGTTAGGCAATCTACCATGTATTATAAAAAATCAATGAATATTTTTAAATGCATTCTCTAATGATCAGCTTAATTTTTGTAGCCAAATGTAGCTTGTTTGTCTATTAAATTGTATTAATCATAATATACCAGTATTAAAACGATTGGAAAATACAAATTTAATGTTTTTTGTTAATTTTTGTTTTAATGTCTTACGAGATAAATAATTGAGGGCTGTATACAAATTAAAATGCTTTTTTCTTAGTAAAAATCCTTATCGCAATATAAATTATACTATTATAAAAATTAGCACTTGAAGAATTCCATTTTTTTTTCGTTTCTGTAAATCGTGGTTTTCCCCATTTCTCAGTATTGGCAAGCAAAGCAAAAGTTCATGGGCATACTCATTAAGTACAATAAAAGTTACATGTGAAATGTTTTCGGGTTTTGAGACCGTAACGAAGTTTTGTTTTGCAATGTGCCGAGAGTAGACCCGCAATCCGAGCCTTATGATCATTTCTACGAAGTTATAATTAAATCTACATGCACAATTAATTTTAGTATTTGTTACAATTATTAACGCAATTTTTCACCTGTATTTAAAAATTACTTTATATTTAAAATTGATGTCACAACCTAATTCCTCAACTCTTCAATTTGTGATTTACATGTATATCCGAATGCGAAATCAACGCGGTTTGTCTATTTTGAAATGTCGAGGAGTTAAGTCTGTAGGTTTATTTTTCTTCTGGTGGGGTTAAAGCCCTCAGTAGGACTACCGACAAAGATAAATGACATTTAAAACTCGTGAAATGTTGTGACATTGGGACTCGATTAAGTAACGATCCGTTGCTTCGTTTTAAGTTACTTAGTATTGCACAAAGTTTTATTGTATATTTTGTCATATAGTATATCTCCCCTTTTGTAATTTGATTTCTTTTTAACTTTGTGTGTTTTTGTCATACGCCTAAATACATTTATTTTCCGAGATAGATTATATAAACATCTTTGTCCTACAGTAGTTTCTTATATTTATAGCAATTTATAGTTAAGCTATTTTAAGTTAGTATAAAATAATCTGTTTAACTCGACTATTTTAGTAAATATATGGCGTACGTCGAGAGTAAAACAGTGATATTAAAAAGATAAAAGTATTAATCTTTAAAATAAAATCAATAAAACATGCTGTGTGCCCTTGAAAGCGACCTCTTGATGCGGTGTGGTGATCTTTGTCCCACTTGCTTGCTTCATACGCTGTTATTAGGTGGTGTTTATGGTAATTACCCCACCTTCTCAATAAACCTATCGTCGACTCCGTCCTAATGCATCCGCAGTTTCACGTACCGAATAGTTACTAATAATGTCGACGTTTAAGTTTACAACATTGTGTTAAGTTTCCATAAGTTTTATTGTTTCGTGATATTCCGGAAGAAATGTTGATAATTATTATCTTCTGATGACTCCGTAATGTTAACTTTAATAACTCATTTCAGCCTTTAAACCATACGTTTAAGATGTAATTAAGTGATTGTAGAAATTTGCGAAATGTACGGAAGTATCGCCAAGGAATCTATAATAGTTTTCCGGGTCAATCCTTCGTGTTTTTATGATAATTTATAAAAGCGTTTATTAAGCATTTATGTTGATGCACTTGCCGGTAATGTACGAGGTCTTTGTCTCGTAGTGACATTTTATGATTGTAATGAAAGTGATGATTAATATCTGTACAAGTGGTACTTTGATGCCAAATAAAGACCCCGGTAGCGATTAAATTACATTTCGTCTGAAGGTCGAAGTGTGGAGGAATTTCCGGGACGCATAACTTGACCTTTGTGAGTTCACTTTTGTGAATCCCCGTATATGATTTCCCTTTACGTCCGCTGTAGTCAATAAAATTATTACACGGAAACCCGTATCTTTCAAGGTTCACATTTCTATAGAATTTGTATCATTTTTATTTTTTCTGAAGGTTAATGATAAAGAAATTTCCTGTACATATCATTTGACTTTTTGCCTTGTTTCATTTTTCTTATAATGGGTCAATGGCAATTTTAGATACACATGTATTAAACTCCTAGTATGGAATGTAAATTTTTAACTTCACTATTTATTTGTTAGACGTGACGCTTAGAATCTTACGTCGCATGCCAGTAAGCAATTATATTTAATATCAAAATAATTGACGGTATTGACCCTCTTAACGTATACGTCTGGCAATGACAAACTTCAAAATAACTTGATAACTTAAGTGGGATCGCTTATTTTTATTTTTGATCTAACGCGTTTAAGTCTTTTGTTAACTAAACCTTCACGTGCTACAAAATGCTACGCACATTGTAGCGGATTTTATTACGCACGATTTCCAAATGTATGGCGCTTATTTAAACATTTAATAGCCTTTGTATGCTTTTTTAATCATTTATTTTAATCATTGTCATATGTAGTCATGACAGCCACTCCTTGGGTTTTTAAAATGTGCATTATAAAAACCATAATACGTGTGTAGACTGTAATGGTTCAAGATTGTCAGCGATCGGGGAATTCCGGGCTATAAATAGGACTGTCGTCAAGATAAACTTTTACTGGAACATAAAACTTCGCGGACGTCAATTTTATAAGGAATTTAAATTTTATTTTGTTGTTCATGTACCTATGCATGTACATGTATATCTAAACCGAAGAGATTTACAATGAAGTGCTAGGAAACTAAAATAAATAATAATTATGACGTATTTACTAATTAACGAGAAAACGAATTTTACCATGGACGTATAGCAACACGGTATTTAGGTGTTACTTTTTAACATAGATTTATACCAAAGGTGTGATAAAGCGAGCAAACGGCATTTAATGAAGGTGTCGATATAATTAATGAGTGAGTTACGTGGCGCTGGCGACAAATACGGCACGTGTCAATCGATGGTCGCTTCTATTTTAAGCGGCGTCCGCGGTCGCTCCTCAGGTTCGAAACTCTCACTTTCTATCGTGCTTTAATTGTTATGTGCGTCCGCAGACACATGCAATTTTACGTGCGCCAATGTTGTTCATCAATTTACATTACGTACGGTTTTTTTCGTTTAATATTTCTGCCGCACATGGGTTCCTGTCAGTGCATACACGCCGCGACTACGTGATCGTCTAGGACGTAAAAAGTCATTTGCATTACTAGTAATTGATATTCTAACATTATTCTTGTTTAAGTTTGGTTTGAGCTCGTAACGGGCGTTATGCGTTCCTTTATTGTTGAATAACGTAGCATAACAGTAATATGTTCAGTTTTTCGTACATAACTACATCAAGAGAAATAATCAAACGTGACACGAAGCTTCACGTAAGATATAGTTACAAAAATATGTGGACTGTGCAGCGTTGGTAGCATTTGTATTTCAAATGAACGTAGATGGTCTACGGAGAGCCTACGATATTAATGTAGTGCGTTATACCTTTCTGTAATATATTTATAAGTAAATCTTTAACTTTAGATATGTTTAAATATTCTTAGGCAACTATCAAATAACATTATAGTCTGTTGATTTTGGTTAACAGATTAAAGACTTGTTGAAGGTTAATAAAATATTGACTTAAAACAACTTTTCAACCTTTTGTTTGATAATTTCCTCATGTAATGTTTAGCTTAGCATGCATACCAATTAAAATAATTCTAGTAATTGATTGCAAAAATAGAATAATAGTTACGAGTTAGTAACTATTTTTCTAATTCAGTAACAGTATCTGTGTCTAGTCTTAGGATGAAGTTTAAATTGCCACCAGGCTTTTATTTTATTTTTAAAATGTATACGATTTATATTTTTATTAGTGAATAAATTATTGAAAACGTATTGATTAATGTTAATTTAAAAAGGCTTTGTTTGCATTAATTTAATATTTAAATGTTGTAGGGCTAAATAATACGATCAAATAAGGATGGTAGAGTTAACATAGGTGTCAGGCAACATTGTTATGACGTGCGTGAAATCGTATGGAAGTAATTAATATTCATGTCACGAGAAGTTGAGGATGTTGCCCAAATATTAGGCACGGGCTCAATTTCGTACTTCAATAGTTTGTGTATCTAAGGTGACAACGGAAGATTTAATTTATGTTTGGAATTTAGTCTATTAAAATAATGTTATAACTAAAAAGACACAAGTGTTTAGGTATGTGTGGAAAACAACACATCAACTAACGCGATGCTAATGTGTTTTGTGTAACAAGTGAAGATAACCGGAGGCAAAAAAACTGGTTATGAATGAAAGTGTTTTTACGTCGAAGTTGACAAGCTGTCGTTACTAGTCAAAAAGGTTCATTGACATTCTTGTTGATAAAATATTCACAAAATACATTGATGTTGGGGTGGTCAGTTTAGTAGTTACTAGGGAAAGTCAGTAGCTTGGTCAGCGCAAAATAAAATAAAAAAGTAGCTTACACTATTTCCGCACCCATTAGCTATCTTCCTATCAAAGTCTTACCAAAATTGACTCAGCCGTTACGGAGATGATAATGAGAAAATGCGCCTTTGTGTACAGACATATAGACAAAAGTAATAATTTTAGACCTCCGCGAAGACTTTAACCAGTTAGGAAACTGTCTACAGTTATAAAGTTCTATATAGCATAACACTTCATCAACACATAAAATATGTCACTTTTATTGCGTAATAGCACGTTTGTTAGTACCATTACGTGTGTCTATTTAGTAAATGTAGCGAGCAAGGTTTTGCTTTTGATGTAGTCAGTTCACACTTAATTACCAGCGCGACCTTTGACGCCCAGGGTACTTTGGGCTCGTTTGGTCTAGGCCGGAGGTCGTTCTACCAATCACTTTTTGCAATTCTCATTAACTTGTATTAGTGCTGAGTACCTTTTCCTGTGATCTATTTTCTATGCGTCATAGAATTAGTTTTTGTTTATACGTTTGAAATGTCAAGGAGAGAGCAATCCAAACCGAGTAAGTACTTATACATGTTATAACGGGCGCAAAACTCGCAGTGAATAATTTTTGACCTAGGACTACTGCGGGAAAGTATTGTTTAAGGACTTGTTAGATTTACGATTTAACGTAAGAGATTACCGTTAAGATTATTACTTGATTCCTTTTTGAGAACAAATAGTATGTTAAAAAGATGATATTCTGTAAAGTCACTAACGATTAAACATGTTGCAGATATTAAATTTGTCGTATACATTTTTTTCTTAAAGGTATCGTTAAATGTGAATGTAAAAGTTGAAACACGTAAAAAATATCTTTTGGTGAGTTTATGTCACCTATAATTGTTATCCAATTCATCCGATGGTCAATTAAAAAAGGAGTGAGTGATGAATGGTTGTCGCAGATGTACTGCACTGAAGTATAATTTTACATATTTGCGCTTACTTAACCCGAAATCAATTGCACTTCAATAACAATTGACATTCTTTAAACCCGACAAAAAGTTAAATTTACTGCATATGAACTTTTATGTCACGTACTACTCTTGAAAATATAAATAAAACAGTTGGTAATAAAAACGTTTTATTATGACAAGACCGTGTGATAACATCTTTAGCATAATTGAACACGGTATGTTCAATATTCATGCATCCCAATGTTGTGAAAAAGAATTTCATGACCTCAATCAAAATCAATTTTGTTCCATTAAAATGTCGCGCCTACCATCGACTATAATTATAGTATGAAGCGACAAATTGTTTTCCTTCGAAGACATTAACCACCCTCGTGTAATTTAGGTCTCCTTGTAGGTAGTGTAGTGCATACGTGTGATGCCCGCGTAACGTTTTGCAACGTAAGGGGCCCATCAGGTGCGTGCATTCAGTTGCATAAATACTATTGCGACAGTCGGATCGCGGTCACTGCCGCGCCGGTATGCCGCTAAGGGCAATCGGCCCTTTCCCACTATGTACGATCTGGACCACTGAATCACACAATCTGGTCTTACATCCGTTGTACTAAACATTATTTATTATTTAAAGTTAAAGGCTTTTGTGTAATGTATAAAATAAAAATTAAATTAATAGAAGTACTCTAACAATGAATAAAGATATTTATAGAATAATATGAGATATAAGTAATTTAAGTAAGCATCAAGCGAATTACAAAAGCGGTCGCCGCGCCCTGGCTTACTTTAAACGAGCACTGCCGTAATACCCTTTTCCGGATTGATTTTGGCATACATTTACACGTGACTTAGTAACATGCCTTTTACTATGAGTAGCCATATATACTAATTAACTGCCTGCCTCTAGATGTCACTTAAAACAAATCTACAGTTATTGTTTGACGGCTTAGGGCATTGACATCTGAAATCAAGTGTTAAAATCAGTTATTTTTGTAAATTTCCGCCTACATTGTTCGTTGTCAACGAGCATCCACAAAAGTTGATAGTATCGTCCTTGTGGAACCGCAATGAATGTGCTTAATGGTTCGAAAAGTTACAAATCCGCACTAATGTCTGTTGCACATCGCAATAATTTCTGCGCTACAAATGCAACCGTCTTTACTTTATTTACTAATTTCGAGTGTTTAAGCAAGTTCAGAAATCGAGTAATATTCGAAGCAAGTTGTACTAATCACACAGCCGAGCAAAGAATAGTATATTCGAAGTTCTTCATACACACGGTCCAACGGCCATGTCCAAATATGTACTTCACAGAATACAGTATTATTTAATCTTTGCAGCGTGTGACGACATGCGGTCCAGCTTGCGGGTCAGCGGGCATGGGCCCCGCGGCTGCCGGCGCGGTGCGGCGCTTAGCCTCAAGTTTGCAGAGCACCAGCACCGGCTCGCTCCCTGACTACGGTTCACAGATCGTCGATCCCTATCGCCTGCTAGAAGACGATCTCAACGGCATCTATGAGGACATACGATCGGTTAGTAACCTCATATATGTTTCAATTAAGTTACTTCTGTACGACACCCTTTTGGGCTTATCTTCCTACTCGTGTACGCTAGTACTATTGTTACACATGTGTTTTTTTTTAAATCTCTAATAAGTTGCAAGTTTGAATGTAAAGTTTTTGGGCTTATCTTCCTTCCCTTTTGGGCTTATCTTCCTACTCGTGTACGCTAGTACTACTGTTACACATGTGTTTTTTTTTAAATCTCTGATAAGTTGCCAGTTTGAATGTAAAGTTTATGTTATTTGGGTTAGTATTTCTTTTTAAATTGATGTAATTGAAAAAGTCTATTTTATGATGCCAAAATGAAAAAATATGTTTATAACACGTCTTTGATTCTTTATTTTAACATCAGAGCTACTTCGCATGTGAATTTCTGTAAACAATATAATGGTCAGCGAATCTTGTAGTTTGAGGTGTACATTCTAATCTGTATGACTTCTTTTCCGGTGTGAAGGTCAGAACTACAATAGAAGATCGTTTATTTTGTCCCACTTAATTTTTAACATCTGTTAAGTGGGAAATAAGTTGTCACCGTGACCTACTTTGAATTATAAGTAGATTTTTTTATCATGGATTTATATGATTACGACGTTTGTATATTTGGTTGTCGGTTTTTATTTTATCTCTTGATATCTAGTTCGAATGTGATACCATGTTAAACTTTTTTAATTGTTATGCCTGAACAAGGTTATGATAATAGTAAATTCCGAATAGCTAGTTTCAATTAAATGGTTAACAATTAATGTTTGTTAGTACAGGTCATTGTATTGTCCATTGATCTGGAAGTGTGTCAAAGACACGACGTGATAGCACGCGAGTGGGTGTTGCTTGTGCAATTCGCTCATCGTTATTGCTTAGCGATATTATTATAAGATTCAAACTTTATGTGAGCTCATTGTGTAGCTATAAGAGCATGATGTTATAGCTAGATGGCACTCTAATAAGGATGCCACAATGTCTGGTTCAAAATTGCAAGCCACCTTAGTGTTTGTATCGTACTATACCATATATATAAGTGTCGCCAAAATTGTGGATTGTTTATTTTTATATGGATTTGATGATTTCAGATACATTATGAAATAAATAAATAATAGTTTTAGTAAAGTGTTGTATGGACTGTGAATCGCCTACCTTCGAACCTGTTATTCCTTATGTAAGGATTAGTCAAGCGTTATGTACGTATAGGTGTAGCCAATGGAGCTTAAACGTACACGTTTTTGCGGTATTTTTTTTATTGTAAAGAATTCTTGTTTTCCTACGATAGTCATATTCAAATCGTTCTTCTGTCTTGTTGATGTAGTCGTAAGGTTTGTAAAGGATGAGTACTAAAACGAAATTTAAAAATATTTTTTTTATTTTTCGTCAGATTGTTAGTGGCGCTTACTAAGCAAACTGTTAAAGATTCTTTTTAGATTTCGTTCATAAGTTACTAGGTGTAAATTGTAACTGCTCTTTAAATCCATTCCTACTTACGACGGATAATTTTATATGTTTAATATTCTTATAATATTTGCATATGTTCGTAATAACTTTTCTGAGAGTTATGTTTTTAACTCTACACGCTCGATACCAGAATAGATCGCATGCGCCGGCTTCTGTTCTAAACCGTACCGTAACCGCTTATACGGTAGATACGGCTCGCTCGTTCGCCTACTTTCTTGTTTGGAAAACTCGTCTAAAACTAGGCCCATACGTGAATACTGTGCCTCTCATTTCTAAACGCTGGTTTCCTTGATATCACTTTTTTTAACAACAGGAACGGTGGTGGGACTTGAAAGTTCAACTTTCTTGATACAAACCTATCCACGTGTCGACTTTGCATGTTACTTCTCTAATATTTTTCTAAAGGCGGTTGACGTAATTTTATAGGCTGGTTATTTGATCGTTTTCAGTATCTTATCTTGTATTACAGCTTGTATCGGGGTTAATGTTTTAAACAAGTTTTATCATTGAATGTTACATAAAATTTATCTCAACAGTTGGTACGTGTAATGCAAAATGGGTACTCACTAAAGGACATCCGTTATTACTCGCACTATTAGTAGATAGACGTAATATCTAGTTCTATTTTACCAATTTACTGATAATTTTAGAAGTTCCTTCCTAAGACCCAAATTCCATCTATTTCGCGGGCATTTTTAAAATCGCATGTTCGTTTAAAATGTCGAATAAGATATATTCGTACGTAATAAGATATACGTTTAAATGTCTTGCAAAAAGTTGTCCCAGATCAAAAAACGGCTTATTTTAAGTTTTGTAGAGTTACCCGTATGATAGGTCACGTACTTGATTCTTTGAAATTAATATGTTCGTTTCTTACAGGTAAATAACCAAGGTCAAAAATGATGTAGCGTTTAAACTCACGTCTTGTGCAAATTAGAATCAGTGCAGATTTAAAATGAATGTCAAAATTAGTAGAGCATAAACTGCATCCGAAGTCTACGAAACATAACGTCTGTGCAACTCACCGGTTTGTCACAAAAACAATGGTAATGACGTTCAATTATAAAATTCTATGAACGGATGTTAGTGTTGCAAGCGACCCTTATTATATGCATCTGGTTTTTTAGGCTAAACCGTCCTTATATAGATCTTAAGAAATATGTACAACAATCAAGAGCGGTTGTAATTTTTTTAGTTTTAATAAGTTTTGATGTAAGAAAATTAATACTATATGTCAAAGTTCATTTAGTTGCATGCATTTATTTAATTTTATAAAGGACTAGCTGTTCCCTTGCGGCTTCATCCGCACGAAATTATGAAAATTTTATTTTATTGATTACATTTGCCAAATTATCAATAGCAAATGTCAAAATGACGTGACATGACATGACCAACCTTAGCAATCTTTCTTTATTGATGTTGGCAGCAACTTATGGTCTCTTCCCACGTTAAGGTTTTTATCCAAAATATTTACCCCCAAAGTTTAATGGTGTGAAAATCCATGCCTAAAGCGTGACGTATAAGTATAGGGCTTTTTGTTAAAAAAAAGAATTATTCAAAAATATGCTGTATCTTAGGCAACAAAGAAGTGTGTTTACGCTTTATTATAATAGTATAGATTCCTTCAACTATTTATTTTCATAGTATAAATAAGTTAATATGATTACGTTACTTGCAAAATCATGTTTTAATTATTTACTTTATAGTTATCATTCATTCTCGTTGTGTTATAATATTTATTAAATATTATTGTGTCGTGCCTAACCGAGTTTTAGAGATGTGCTAAATATCAATTGTTGAATTTGTATCTCAGCCAAGGCCAATTTATGTAACACGGATATTGTTTTCAGGTCATTGACTGTTTGCTAATACGTCTGTCACTTATTCCGCATTGAATTTTTACTACATAAGTAATTTTACACGAAAATTAATTACATTTTTAATATTATACCATTAGATACATAAGCACTTTTCAAATGAAAACCCTTTGTTAGTTAAGAAGCTTCTAATTGTATATAAGCTTAAGATATACCAGATTCCCTTTTAAAGTTTTATAGGTAAATGTGTCTGAATTCGTAGTAATTTCTAGAAAACGAAAAGCTTGTTGACATAACCTCGGTTTGAGGCCGTGAAACTTCTTTGATAGAGGCCTATTCATGCAATAGATACGGCCGCGTAATTTTAACAATGTTGAAGTTGCTGATTTACAAAAGTAAAGGTTCTAACCTTCCTCAGTCTATAGAACTAAGATGATAATCATATGGTCACACTATCTAGTAAGGAATTTTGCGGTTTTTACAAATTAACATCAATTTGTCGATTTGTCACCTTGAACTGCAAAAATTGATTTCGTTTATTACTGAATAATTTAGCTGTTGCTCGCGACTTCGTCTGGGTAATATTAAAAAAAAAAATAATACCATAGCGTAGGCTACTCAATGGATAACGTATCTTTTTAATGGTGAAAGAATTTCTGAAATCTGTCCTCTACTTTTGAGTTAAAACAATACATACAAAAATCTAAAAATACAAACCTTTCCTCTTTATGTGATATTTCAAGAATTCTCTATTATCTAGTGGTCTATCTATCAATATGGTGTGGTATATTTGATCTGATTTTTAAGTCTAGAAAACTAGATATATAGTTCTGTGTCATAAAAGAGTTCGCCGTATTTCCATATTAAGACAAATGAATGACGACAAAATGTGTCGATTATTTAATCAAGTATTACGCAGCAGTATGGCATAGCCTTCTAGTGTAATTTTCAGAGAGACGCGACGTCCAGCGCGACGCTAATAGAGTTGCGCCTCATTGCCCGACACTGTTGTAATATGACATTGACTGTCCAGTTTCAAATAAATATTTACACATTTTGTTGGTGTATTCTAATTTTATTATATGTGGACGCAACGCATACGTTAAACGTGAACCTTAAATCATTTGATTTTCATAATTATTGTTTGTAAATATTGCGAGTTTTGGACTTCAATTTTGCTTTCAGATAAATTTATTGTTTGTTGTTTAACATTGTTTAACAAATTGCTTTCCATGCTCACATTACATTTTTGACAGAAAAGTTACAACAGGCTCGCTAACAACAATTTGGCCGAACTAGTGTAGTTTTGGCAACCTAATCTCCAAGGGGACTCATTACTAACTTTTTCAAGTGACAAGATATAAAATAAAATTACCAATAACCAAACATATCAAATCTCAAAGAAGGCAGGAGCCCACAAAACCAAATAAATGTTGGATGCGGATTAATATGTGTATCATAATAGCTTCTAAAATTCTGTTATATGGCAAGCTTCTCTTGATTATTATTTACGCAGCATTAATATTATCGAGGTGCAGTGATTGTTGCACAAGGAGCGGGCTCCTTCGGCTCTGGCCTCGGCTTTCGCAATTCCTCTTTGTCGGATTCACCAATATAAACGCTTCGTATCCTTATTCTCTAATAATTTCCTTCCCATCTGTTAATAGAAATTTCGTCTGTCGTGTTACATGTATGTAATACAATTTTTCTTTAGAATTATATTTAAACATTACAAGCTTCGTCATTATTTTCCGCGGTATTCAGTAGTCATTGTTATTGTCATTGATTAACATAATCGTGACATACTTATCTAGCTTCGTTCACATCATAATTAGCAGTTACGTTAACTGCAGCCCTATTGGCTTCGTCTTCACTAAACTAATGGAAGGAATGAAAAGAAAAGTGCAATGACCTGTGAATTCCATCAATTAAATGCATTAACGGCATAATTTGTTACTTATATAGCATTCTTAAGGCAGACTTAGCTTTACATTGAGGGATTGCTTAAATAACCATTAAAACTCAGAGCGGCAGTAAAAGATGTTTCCTCTTCGAAGTTTAATAATACGACGTCAATGACTATATTAGCCTAAATTATAAATATCAATCTTCATATTTTGCGTCAATATAACATTTGTAAACAGCTCACCGTGCGGTAAAGAACATTCTTTATTACACAATATGATATTTGAATTGATAATATATCTTTGTAGCAGACAGGTGATTAACAGAATTCTATAGTGTAATATTGTAAGGTGGCAGTTGGGCTACGAACACATTATTACCATATGAATGCTCTGTGATGTATGCAATAACATACAAATCATCAACTCATTCTTGATAACAACAATAGATTGACACATTCTTAATACACGAAATGTTATTTAATCTATTAAACTGTTAAAAAACATTTAAAACTTCTCTTGCATAGAGAAAAGTGCGCTACAATACTGTTTAGCGAAAGTACTTCGGTGTTTTAGTTGTCCATAAAACCGTTCAAAATGCACGGTTGAACTTTAACAATACACGAAATATTGCATTATAATGCAGTTCGGCTCTTGTTTGGAATGTAGTTCTACGGGAAACAACGCCTCCGGGAAATTCACCATCTGATTGTTTACAAGACCATTTTACTTTAATTCTTCGGATGTAAGTAGAGTTGTAAATTGTCGGAATTAAAATTATTACAAACTGTAGTTGCTTCATTAAACATGGTTATTTATTTAATGTATTAGCAAATCTGTAAGAATATTATTAGTTTGCTGTAGCATAATGAAGAAATGAGAAGGAAATATCTTCAATATTTATAATTAAATTGGCAATAGTTGTCTGAGCAGCTTACGCAAGGATTATTACCGAATCTAGTTTTTTTAATAATTATATTTTGAGAATAGGGTAACAAAAATTTGGGGAAACCCATTTTGCCTTATAAAAGGAATTTTAGAACATGACCAGTAGACGATAGAATCGCGTTAAATTGGAACAAACTTTTAGTATAGTTCTATCTACGCTATTTGCTTTGTATGATTGCTTAGTTACAAAATCAAAGTGATTATAACAGACTATATCTAATGAGGCGAAGACGCAATTGGAAGCTACTTTCTCTGTTTTTTTTATCGTACATATGTATGCGTTTTATAGGTTATATGATAATGTGACATACATATTTTGTCAACATGCTTACTATTCTTTGAGTAGACTGAACAATAAAATTACTGACCATCTGAATATTAAAAAAAATCGCAGTGATTCTCATTGTCGTTTAGCTGTTGCGACAAACTTGCGGCGTCCGTCTGTGGTAAATGATCGTTACAAAATCACGATTACTGTTTCTAAATTAAGTGTTACAGAAATTACGAGGCCGTTTTAGTTTTAAAATGCTTCTTGTGACTAGTTCTACCTCTGTATTGAAGTTTCTACGATCATAGCTTACTGGCAATTGTAAGTTGGTTGCTTAGTGTAGTTTTGTTTTAAAGATACACTATGGCGGATTACTTAAAGAGTTTAAAACGGCACTTAGACGCTATTATAACGAATAAGTTGGAAGTAGCAGAGACATTATTTTCGTTAAAAAGCATCCATTACTTAATATATTGTTGATCAACAGGAGCTGGAGAGGAACACAAACCAAGCGGAACTGAACACCATAGCTACATATTACTTCGACGGACAGGGCAAGGCGCTCAGGCCGATGGTCGCTATACTAATGGCGCGAGCTGTCAATTACCACGTCTACGGCGAAAACAGGTCAGTACAATACTTATCATATAATGTCTTCAATTATCATTATCGGGTAGAACTTAAACACCAAGCTTTGGTCATAATTTTGAACAAATAATTAAACTGAAACATAAGTTGTATCATGAAGCGAGATATTTCGTTAACGATTTTCTTGGACTTGATCGTTTAAGTAATTAAAACACACTTTAAACTCAATTTTATATCTTAAGTACGGTTGAATGTCATTAGTTAGGCGATCATGTTTTCGATACATGATAGACACATGTTTGGGATTAATCGTATATAAACGAGCAATTAATGATTTTTGAATTTAAGAACATTTTATCTATCTTATTTTATCTTATCTTATATTTTTACTGTCATTTTGTAAACATTAAAACTAATATCAGTACACCTATATTAACAACTATTTTAGATTTTTTTAAATATAAACTTTAAAGTTGATGTAGAGTGATATTCTGTTCAAATAATGCTGAGTCATTAAAAATAAACATAAAAACAGTATCTGTTGAGTAGTAACACTAAAAGCAAGGTCGTAACAACATTCATTGAACTTATTGCACAATTTCAAGTCCGCGCTTTTCGATTGCATTCGCTCATCACAAGAGCCATAGTTCAATGTCTATTGAACCTTGATCGTAGCGTTTTGTTTTGATGGCAACAACTCTCACACCTCAGGATTCACACGGCCTTGATTGAAAACGATTGTGATTTAATTGTGCATAACTAGCCAAAAAACTTAAAGCATTTATACTACGCTTTTGTATTCTCTATGTTAGAATCACTCAATTCGTTTTCTCATATGATATTGATGTGAAATTAACAATATAATCGTTTATTTTCGTAGCATTGTTTACTGCAGTCCATTTTCCTTATGCTTATCCCGCGATCTCGGGCATTTCTAAGTTAGTTGAAAGGGGATAAGGAAAATTCCACGGTGTAGGATGCGTTTCATTTGCTTACAATATGCGAAGCAGTTTAATGGTTTGTTCTATTTCATTAATATGTTCACGTTCCTGATTTAACTCGCGATCTATCCATGATTCGAATATTTAAACTGAAAGGTGCCATTACTCTATTGTTTTTTTTTAAATATGTAAATAAATCATGTGTTCATCACGTCTCGCTCTGTTTGCCTAAAGATGTTGAGTACCCGTTACTAGAGACAGCAGAGCGGTATAGCTTTGTATGTTTTGAAATTTCATTGTCGACTTTATAAGAAATTTAATATAATGTTATGATGTTAGGAAGAATAATAAAAAGTTCACTACTTAAAATTAAAACTATCAACTATTGCATATACTACTTAATAGTTATATATATTGATGTGTACATAACCTTTTTTGCTTCGCTTCGTGTAGTAACAGATTATATACGATGCTAACATCTTTGCCGTTGTGAATAACCTTTCGATAAAATTATATGTAGAGATTTATCTAAAGTACTTACCATCTTCAAACACTGTCAATTTACCGTTGACCACTAATGATATCTTTTTTATTTACACGATCTTTCATGTCTCAAAATTACCAACGCAGTACTTACGTAGTTTTTATCTTGACGACAAAATATGAATTACAGAAAAAAAAAATCATTAATATTCAAATAAGTTTATTAACATTTCAACCTTTCCTACAAACGTAAAACAAATAAAATATTATCATAATTAAATAATTCGTCAGATGAAAACTATTGTCAATGGGTTTTGCAAATAATTATTTAATAAAAAAAATCCACTGTATGTTAAACACGCACTTCATTGCTTTATTCAAATATTTACAATATTTATTTCATTTTTCAATTAATATGTAGACAGTGGAACAAGTTTTAAGTGACGTAAACTATTGTTTTAAGCTAGTGATTATGAGAATTATGTAATTTGTCATAGCAAGCAATTTTTCAAATACTGTTTAAAAAATATAAGCTAATTCGATGTCATCACGAGACTAAGCACACTTTTGTGCAAATAAAATATTTCCTTTTAACTCTACGTTCCTCTGTTATTAGACAATAACATGTATCAGAACATTTTGACTCTTGACAGTTATTGTTCTACGACGTTAAGATTGTAGTTTTGAGTGTATATTTTTTTAATGATTCTAATCCCAATGTAACGTTTAATACGATGTGATTGTAACAATTGATGCAACATTATTAGGATAGTGTTTCAGTCTTAACATTTTGCATGCAACCGTCGATTACAGTTAAGGCTTTCGTAAATAACCCAGTTCCAAATGTTTTGCATGAAACAGCAATTCTCTATTATTTCACGCTATAAGGTCGGCCATCTATTTGTCCTCTTCTGCAATTGACATTTCAATTAATTCTAAGCTTATATATTTCTTAATGTGGTGGGAGATAAAATCTTATTTTCTTTTTTACGAGACCACTTTTAAGTCCACACCTTTACTTTCAAAATGTAGACTAATAAACAAATGTGTGAACACTAAGGGACTGTTTAAGTTAAAATTATATGACTTGTAGTAGATAGTTTTATTTCCTTCTCTGTATTTTTGTTGTTGAACAATAGATTTTCTCAAGCAACTCCCATTACACTAATGTCACGAAAGTCATTCAATGTCAAATTGGTGTTTGTACAGTGCACTGCTGCCGTCACAGCGGCAAGTCGCGATGATCAGCGAGATGATCCACTCGGCGTCACTCATCCATGATGACGTCATCGACCAGAGCGATTTCCGGCGCGGGAAGCCCTCAGTCAACGTGCTCTGGAACCATAAGAAGGTAGGCTTATTACGTAATCGGTGCATCTTGCATTCGTACATACTGCTATGTCATCCAATAACAGATTATTATAAGCATCAATAGAAAAATGTAATAATATTTATTGATTGTACCTTCTGGTACCTGAGCGAGATATTAGATTGAGATATTTAGCTCTGTTCTATTCATTTAATTTCCGGTTTCGTAGCAAATTGCTAAATATATTTACAAGTTCAAAATCCGACCTAACGATTTGTTTTAGACTAAATATTCAGTTTTAGTAATAGTTACTTTAATTGACAACAACAAAAAATCTATTTTCATATCCTGTTGCAACGACTTTATTAGTCTTACTACTTAACACATTGAATGCATAGTTATTTAACGCCTTGCCAAAGTTAGCAGGAAAAGCCAAAGACAAACGTAAATGGTATAGCGTCTAGCGAATAAAAAATAACAATTTTAATTCTCCTTTTGTCCTTGGAAAATACGTTTTTGCTGTAACATGCAAATTAAATATCATGCTTCTAGATTTATATATAGAGTTGTTGGTTTGTTGCTGATTGATAATATTGGGAATGTACGTTAGGAGACGAGCCATGACTTGAATGTTTTATAACCTACCTAATAAAAACTTAATAGATATCTATTGTGATGACAAACGTCTGAGCCATCTGTAGCTATGAAGTTTTAATTAACAGATTGAATTCATAGTTTAAATTATCAAATAATTTGCTATCTTACTAATATAATGTATACTAAAGTTTAGATGGATGGATGTTTGTAGACTAAACGACTGAACGAATCTCGATGAAATTTGACATAGGCGTAGGGGATAGTTTGGAAGAACACATAGGCTACTCAATTTTGATTAATTTAGTTCCACGCATACGGAGCCGCAGGTGAAAGCTAGTATTTGAATAATTTCAGAAACTCTTTAATTAAATTCAAACATAAACAATTTATAGTCGAGAAATACATTCAGAATTGTTAGCTTCTGTCCTTTCTTTACTACTTAGTCTAATGCCACTACTTTATATGCTTGTTGTGTATGTTTATAAATAGTAAGCATAGTACATTTGTAATGAAAAACCCTACAATTAATTATACGTGATTTAACATTGTAATGCAATGGGGTGATCAAGTCGCGACATCTAGGAGCCTATGCACCGCATAAATAATCCTGGATGGCGATAATTTATTGAACAATTATATATATATAGTTTTAAACTAGGTTAACGTGTATCTTCGCTGTTAATGTACTTACTTACTTACTTACTTTATACTAATTTTATATGGTAAATGTGAAAGTTTAGATGGATGGATGTTTGTTAGAGTTTGTAGACTAAACGGCTGAACGGATTTTGATGAAATTTGGTATAGCTATAGTGGATAGTCTGGAAGAGCATATAGACTACTCAATTTAGTTTTTTTTATTCCACGCGGACGGAGTCGTGGGCGATAACTAATAAAAAAATAAATGAATCGCTAAACCAACATAGTGAAGAGGAATTTGAAATAGAAATGGTCAAACATTAATAAGTGTTTAATATCCGTAATATTAAGAGAAATAACTCGATCTGAAAAACCGTAATTAACGCCGTAGGTTGTTTCAAAAGAATATCTACATATGTGTATTCTGTAACTCCACAATTACAATGATTTCTAAGAGTTGCCTCTACTTATATCTAAAAAATAAACACAGTACCATATGACATTAGACTATTACAGCAGTATTATCCTAAAACTTTTCAAAATAAAGATGTATGACTACTTCACCACATATACGACCGTACATATTCATACAACTGGGTTAAGATCAAGACGTTTTAGTCCAGTATTGTTAGTCACAGTTCAGCTCTGCAACATTTACTGTCAATGAAATTCCTTCGTTGACTCAGTTATTTTACTACAAGTAATCGCCAAAGAATCTAAAGCCTTTGTCAAAGATTATCTTTAGCGAGGTACGTTCTCTTTAGCAATGTTGACTTTGAGTTAGGCTGTATACACACGTTTACCCATTTGTTGCGTAAACATTAATCTGTTTGATTTGAACAATTTTATATTTACGCTTATTTAATTTTAATTCTTCAATCTCGTGAACGTTTTATCATCAAATACTTTCCTTCTTGTATAATCTTAGAAGTGAAATATTCCTGGTTTCTCTGTTAAAAAGTAGTATTTTATTAGTCGTAAGTACAAATCATTTCTCTAAGGACATATAAGCAACATATATCTTCTTATTATCTTAAATACAAATAGCTGCCAGTTGGGTGTTTCTAATATTCAATAGGCATATCCTTGACCTACTTATTCATTCCCCATGACATCAAAAACTCACTTAAATTCATAATTGTAGAGCATGTTTGTATGAGAAAGTTCTCTCTAGTCGTTATTCTATAACATTACGTAACTCGAGGAAATAAGTATAGACGTCGACGCTCTGTGATTGAACTTGAATAAGAAACTCTTTTAGGTCACTGAGTCAGGAGCAGGTCCGTGCTCCAGTTATATAAAAAAAGAATACGATCTGTGGGAAGTAGTCCGCATCATCCGTACTAACAATATAAGTCGCTGAACCTTTCTCTCGTGCGTTCGAGGAAACGAGACGGAGCTACTTTATCGTGTTATGTATTGACGTATCGAGCTAATGAAAGCTTACAAGGTAATATAGCTCGTAAAATTTGATGTATAAAGATCATAATTGTTTGAAGAGTTTGAAATTTGTTGTAGCACCCATAGCACGTTTGTGGTGAGATCCGATGCCTGCGAGGCGATGGTCGAAAGCTGGCGACCCCCGGTGAAAGTTCCCCTCGTCACTTTAACTGTGATTTTGATACCAACTCAATTTATTTTTACTTTATATGTTTGATAACTTATAGCCCTATAGCAGATGTATGTCTTTTTTGATAAGCAATTGTTTTGAATTTATCTTTTCTTTCATAAAAGTCACACAATACTCGTAGAGCCTGCCACGTGTTTATCTAAATTTAACAAATTGAACTGAATAAGACGAGTCTTGTGGATAAATGTATAAAGAGATAACGAGTACTCAGGCTTGATAAAAGTATTAATGGGATGAACAGGGATTAGACATTCCCGTATAGTCTTGGTATACTACAATAGAACCTTATGATTATGGGATTAAAGTTTAAAATTCAGTTATTAGCTTTTAAAACAAAACACAAGTGATTTATAACTGCAATGTAATGTTTATATTACCATAACAGTGTTTTCATAGTCTGTATGAGTATTGAGTTTGCCGATAAAAGAGTACAGTTCCTCAGAGTATCGATGTCTGCTATCATGCAAATGGAGTACGTGCATGTAGTATTACGCTCTGACACGATAGTTGTGCAATAATTCCCTCTTTAAATAAATATATTTGTTAAAGCTATTCCGTCCATTAGGTTTGTCAAGGCGGTTTTCGTAAGGCCTGACACAATATACGATCGGGGTCACTTTTATTTAATACTGGCGACCGTTTACGCGAATGAAACCGATTTTTTACACGAATTCAAGAAAAAATGGTATCAGGCATTTTTTTAATGCGTAATTTTTCAGTAAAATGATTAGAAACGTAGGTGAAAGTTACTGATTCCAAATTATTGTGTATTTTTTGTCATGATGAATGCAACTTAATAAGACGTTAAAACATGCAAAGAGTTTATACAGCTAGGTTTTATCAGTGTAAATCAATACAATAGAATTCCCAAATGATACGAATCGTTCATTGGTATTCCCTCGCCCAAAACTAATTTGAATAGAAACGGTATGAAACAAAGGACGATCCTGCGTAGAGACACGGAGGCCCCATTAGATCGGAACCTATTGCAGTGGAATCTCGTCCGTCTTATTAACGCAACTTGTACGCTCGCCGCGTTGCTCGTCGTCCTTCACGAAAAAATGCCCAGTACGAATGCGTCGCGCGCGCTGATGTGATCTCACACGTTTATAGGAATCGATTACAAGCTTATAATGTCATTCACGTTGCTTCCTGTCGGTTTCTGCAGCTCTAGCACATTTATGGTTACTGACATAAATATCAGCGGCTAAGCCCTACCAGTTTTCAAATTCAATCATTCGTCGATTTAAAATTGTATTACTGTTTAAACCTAAATTCTGTATTAAGCTAGAAAATACTATTATAAGAAGACAGACGGGTCTATGTGACGTGTTATAACTCATTTAAACTATTTGATAGTACAAAACTGCTAATGTGATTTACGCGAACTTCTCTTGACACAATAATTATCATTTTATTTCCATTGTATTGTACGAAAATGCGAAAACTAATTTACACATACTCGCGGATGTTTTCTCACAGCTCCGGCTCAGCCAGAGTTCTAATAACCTGTATTTGAGTTATGTCATAAAAATTTATATGTTGATTTTTTGAATAACGTTTATTTAAACCCACCATTTATGGGTAGATGTGTAAACTGAGTCGTCTACGATATCAGGGCGTGTCTATTTGATGATAACCATGCGAGATGTTGCTATGCGCAGGCGACGCTTTGTTTGAACACCATCACGTAATTACGTGATGAAAATTAATCGCTTAGTTTCTTTTAAGTCAATAAAATATTTTATTACATAACAACAAATAATCCTGGTCAATGAACTGTAGTTCGTTTGCGTTTTAACGCGATTTAAATAAAAGAATGCTACAATAGGCCACGTTGTCAAGGATGCCGCCCGTCAACGTCAGCGTCGTATTGCCGATTCCTATCGTATCTGTGACCATTGTTCAGAATATGTCGCGAACTTATTGTTCAGCGGTCTGCTATGCCGCGGAATACCGAGTTTTAATTGAATAGTACGCGTCTGGAATATTATTATGTATGATACATATCAGTGTTCGACTGCCGTATTGTAGGACATAGTTTTATATTGTAGTGGCTAACGTGACGCAACTCCATTGCCCTGTCTGCCTCTCCTTAAAACTGACCGCATTCCGGAGTCGAAACTCAGCCGGTGTGACTTCTGATTGGTTCTCCAATTTTTGATTTCAATTACGA